GTTTTATCGTGGCACGCGACCTTGGAAAGCCAGACTATTACCTCGGTCAATAAGTTTGACGGTTGATTTGAAGGTTACATCACAAAGAAAGCGGAGAACATCAGTGTTCCAATGAAAATCAGCACCGAGAAATCCGTCCTTTCAACATATTAACCTCTAAGACAGAGTTTAAAACAAACCTGAGAAAACCATTATCAACTTTTTAGCCCATGGATTATCCACGAAAATGCAAAAGTTGTCGACTTCATTATTTGCGTCCCGAATATATACCGAATTCTTGACAAACAGCGGGCAGAAGGTAATATTAAACTTTTAATTCTCATCTTCCAAAAACTAAATTGTTTTAATTTTGGTGATACATTTTTAAAATATAGCGACTTGATAATCAAACATGCCTCTTAATTTGAGTACTGTTAATGGGTTTTAGTACTCTGAATTCAGTGTTTTGAGTTTTTCCAATTTACAATATTTCTTTATGAAGTATTGTTCAGAATGGCCGAAACTTAGTCTGCAAAACGAAAAGCAGTAAATCGGTGAAGCTCAATGTTTTATTGATTGATATTTTTTCCAAGCTAAACGCAATCAAGTTGATATCTGTCAGTCGGCACATTATTAACACAGCATACAACATTTTGTACCGCATTCAAAGTTGAAATCAAGCAGATTTTCAAAAATTACACGACGGCTAGTAAACTCCACGAGGATTTTTGCCGTTCGAAGTTTTCTGGTTCGCCTGGTATGTGAATAAGAGAGCAGGTTTTATCATCTGTTTGAATCCATGAAATGTAAAAGAAACGTTATTACTTTCCTTTAGATATTTTAACTTAGCTAGAGGGTTCTATGCATCTGTTGCAGACGGCTATAATATAGAAGTTTTCTCTTTCAAGAAACTCTCGCATCACGTCAATGAAGTTAAAATAATTCGGCATTCTTTTTCCCCCAGTTGATGAATAAAGCGTTAATTTGTACAAGTTTATACGGCGAAGCAAATCAAGTCTCGTTAAAATGTATGTATAAATACTTTGATTATGAATCTCGACGGACACTAGGTTTTGGCGTGGCGTTCGTGTATCCAAGATGCTGGAACTATTCCTCGTAACGATGTTGTAATTATCTGCATTGTCGAAACGCCTCACAACAGAAATTGAAAAATAGTTCTCCGCGGTTTTGAGGCATAGCAGAGGCTTCAACCTTAGTCATTTCATGTCCAATCTTGGAACTGATGTTGGCAGGCTTACAACTGACTGGATTTTTATAATCCAGAATCACGATCGGACAGTAATAAACACGCTGCGCATTCAATTCTACAAATTTTCCCTAGGGTGTGTTCTTACAAGTACCACAAACACAGTAGGTATCCAGAGGGCAACTCAAGCGTCTGAAAACAAATCTATTCATCAAGTTCAGGTGTATTCTTTTGGAGTTATCTGCTGAGTACGCGTGAAACATAAACAACAGTAAGCCGAGATATTACCAGTCAGGTATTATACAATGTTGGGTGCACTTAGCCATCAGATCATTTAGCGGCGTGAAATTTCTCGCACAATTTCATTAAGAAGTCATGAGGTTTTAAAGCATGTGATATTAAACAGGTGAAATATACTTCAAAGACTTTAGGTGATCAAACGTAGAATAGCGGTAGTTGTCTCAAAGACTTTTGTAGGCACGTTTTATCTCATCTATGCAAGATTTTTTTCGGTAGTTAACCGCTAACTGTCTTCTCGTGTTTTCACGCATTGTGAAATAATTAACTACCGTTGGAGAAATCAATGGTTGCCCGCTCAAATAGATGCGTGCGTGTGTGCTCACACGTACAATAAACTGCTCCATGCAGGAAAACGTTTGAGCTCATTGCGAATTTGAGCCACTCCAACAACGTCCATTCTTTCAAGCAAAGCTATGTTTTATCTTCGCATGATATAAAAGGATTTTTTGAAACGAAGCGACCAGAAAAGCAAAACCACGCTTCGTATATCATTTGAGGGGCAAGTAAATTTAGAGCAATACAGAATAACCTTTCTTTCTTAAAAAATGATGCACATATTCTACTGAGTGGACCAGATGGTTAGGGCGCCAATTTACTTACCGGAAGGTCCGTGGTTTCAAGTAAGGTGTGTTTGTCTGCCACTCGCAACGCTTAATCAATCTACGCGTCTAACAGTGGAAAGACGTTAAAACAAGCGATTTCTCATAAGTCCGGGTTATATCTACACCGTTCAGCTTAAAAAAGGCCACAAAATTTAAGGTTAACCGCTAACTGTCTTCTCGTGTTTTCATGCATTGTGAAATAAGTAACTACCTTTGGAGAAATCAATGGTTGCCCGCTCAAATAGATGCGTGCGTGTGTGCTCACACGTACAATAAACTGCTCCATGCAGGAAAACGTTTGAGCTCATTGCGAATTTGAGCCACTCCAACAACGTCCATTCTTTCAAGCAAAGCTATGTTTTATCTTCGCATGATATAAAAGGATTTTTTGAAACGAAGCGACCAGAAAAGCAAAACCACGCTTCGTATATCATTTGAGGGGCAAGTAAATTTAGAGCAATACAGAATAACCTTTCTTTCTTAAAAAATGATGCACATATTCTACTGAGTGGACCAGATGGTTAGGGCGCCAATTTACTTACCGGAAGGTCCGTGGTTCGAACCTCACCTCTGCCTCTTGACTTCCCCTGTCTAGGCTTGGGCGACCTGGTACAGCTGAATGATCCACCGACTGAATTCCAATTGAAAGCGTATTAAATTTTCGTGACTGTGAGACCGCATTACCAATAAGACTGCGGCAGAAATGAAGTTTCGACAACTAGTAATATCTTTCGGAGGTATATGTCTGCATGTTATATAAAATTTACGTTGCCTACCTTCCAACAGGTCGAATACATGCGCAAATTTTCAAATATAATTTAATCAGCAGAATGCGTGTTTGCCTACATGTCGAAAGACAACCAGTATTTTGTGGTTAAAATCGGAGACGAAGCTGATGAAGATTCTGAGTGTTAACAGAGGAGAATTCAACATGCAGAAAAAAACCACTATTCAAGGGTCCATTCTAAAAGACAATTCTGGCTTTTTCTAAGGGTTAAATTAGTAAGCACTAAATTAGTTCCAATTTTTTGAAGAAAGCAACCAATGGCATCTTGATTTATTCCGAAGACTGAATTGATGATAACACCTGTTCTGGAACGATCTAACTAATATTTTGCGAAAAAACAGTCATCCACGCCCAATTGAACACCGTTGTCGTAGTTAAACGGCATTATAGTTTTACTGTTGATTTCATAATGTGCCAGCACGTCCCAACTTTTTCAGTTGTTGATGGGTAACAGGTACAGACGCTTGTGCTTAAAAGAAGCTGAATTTCCTGGTGATATGAAAATTCCTGCTACGAAACTCACTAGACGTATGTGAATTCTCAGGCTTCCGCCATTCACATACTCATATTATATTCAATAATTCTGCTGAATAAAAAATCAGTCTAGAATGAGTTTTCTGAATGCATGATATGCAGACATGATCCTCAGGTGTCTGCGCAACTGATGGAGTTACTTTCCATTGTTTGTTAACTGACTTGTCCCGCGCCAGTAGTGAACTGCTGTTTTGGTCTATATTTTCCATTCACAAGGTTGGAGATTTCGATTTTCTCAGCAATGTGCTGCATTTTACACAAAGGTATCTGGTTCTATATCATAAGATAAATTATCATGGGGTTTATGGGAACATACACTGATGTTTAATAGGCAGCAGTCACGTGACTGCAGAGAAACTAGCTCCAGTTTATGGAAGAAAGCTGAAGCGCTTCATATATTGACCGAAAATTTCCATAGACCGAAAATTGCAAGGCACCGTTCACGCCTTATTTGTCTGATTTTGTGAGGATGGAGTGACGAGCAAGCGTCACGATCACCTGCTGAGTAATCTTAATGCGGTGAAGCAAGTCATTGGTAGAAAGTATCTACAATGAATGCGATTTGCGGAATAGTTTAGGAAGCGGATATAAATACGTACAGGCCGCGGTCAACCCGAAAATTTTAGTCTGAAATGACAGTACAAAATAAGGCCAGAAACATTGACTTGGTGATAACTACATGCGTAGTTGATCCTCCTAACTGCGAAGACTGAATGTTCCTTCTGTGTCGATAATATACGTGAGAAACTCTCCTAAATTAAATACAACAAGGGCACTAGCCCAGTAAAATCGCTATGGTGAAAACAAAAAACATATCAATAATTCAGATCACGTGTCAACGGCAAATAAATCGCCAGAAGTATTGCTTAAGCATGAGGCCGTTGGATAAAATGTTTAGGCTTGAGCACACGGAGATTGGAGCCATGGCATTTCCCTGCCATTTTATAAAAGCTTCAGAAATAATCAGGTCCGCAGCTCACTTGTTTTTCTTTATCTGACATAAAAAGCGCATTCATCCCTTTTGATAGGCTTCTTAAACAGTAAAATCTACGATGTGTGAAAGTGCTTGCTAACCAGTCTGCTGTATTGTTAATTATTGTTGGAATAGAATAATCCAAATATCTGTGCAGAATTTGATCACGTGTAAGTTATTAATTAAAGTAATTAAACAAAAATGGGCAGTAAATATGAACAAAACATCATGTAACTTGGCGCATTTTTTACGCACAAACTGCAGGTATATAACAAAATGTGTTCTTACAACGAATTTCCATTTCGTGTTATTAGTGGTCGAAACACATACATTTACCTCAAGTTACCTAAACATTGGTCCTTTTCATGAGTACTGTGAATGACTGAAAAAGCTACCTAGCTTTTGTAACGATATGGTAATGTGAATTTAGCATTGCAGAAATCCAACTGAAAAGGTATCGCGGAATCAAGGTGCATCCACATATCTACACTTAATTCTTCGAATTTCAGCGGTACATTTAAGTGAAAAGTTTGTAACGCATTCGAAACTCGAATGTATCGGCTTGCATGCCTCTCATAGGACCTTATACGTGCCTCTCTCTCTTTTTCCCTATTACAGGTTCCATGGTCGAGCCATCATGAACCCCGGACAGGAAAGAATAGCCGCTTGTACAACCCTCCCGGACTGACCTTGACCGACCCCTTTTTGTACCCCTGACTTCCGGTTTCGGTTTCGTTCGAATACACGCGTGTCGTTACCACGCTCCGCTGTTCTCTTCTGTCTCACCCGACCCGTGCGCATGTGTGCTGTGTATACCGCGTGGACTCAATAGTATCAGTGCGTATATCTGCACATTTCAGAACTGACGTGTGCCGTCACTACGTCCTCTCGAACGTCGAATACCGTTGATTTCCTGACGTCCCACGCTACATTGGTGACAGAGGTGGGATCAAGTCAATTTTACGTTCGATCATCCTGCGAAGCATACCGAAACACGTGCGACGAAATTGCCAGAGAATCGGTCGGTATTTTAAAGCTGATTATGTCCCACATCCAGCCACCTCTGGAAGAACCAGAGACGTTTCAACTAGGAGACGATTTCACGCTCTGGTCGGGTCAAATGAAGGCTTACCTCACACTGGTACATCCGCAGTACCACGAGTAATATATCCTGTCCCATCTAGATGACTCTGCATCCCGTCGTGTACTCTATTCAGGCGTTTTGCTGTCTGCACCACTGGATATCCTTTGGACTAACATGTCCTGCCTGTTCGACGCACGACCCCCGAGTCATATCCCTCACTCCTCGCCCAACATAAACCCTCTTTTCAACACCTTGATGTTTCACTGTCATTCTCCGGTCCACAATTTTTCTCCCACCACTTCCGCACTTGATGTTACTTATCCGGACTTGGGTACGAAAACTTCAACAAAATCTTTCCACAAACTTGGTTTCACACAAGCGGCTTATTCAACTTCCGATAATGAAGTTGATAATAACGAAAACCTCCAAGGGAGACGCAAGGGAACACCAGATCTCAAACTTTATCCGATGACTTGGGGTAAGCGCAAGAAGAGGCCGCCAACTACACAACACAAGTTCTTTTTCGTTGTGGTGTTGATGTGGACCAGCGAGACCCAGTACTTTACATTGAAGATGATGATAATAATCAAGCTGCAGCGTGGGACGTCAGGAAATCAACGATATTCGACGTTCGAGAGGACGTAGCGACGGCACACGTCAATTCTGAAATGTGCAGATATACGGACTGATATTATTGAGTCCACACGGTATACACAGCACACATGCGCACAGGTCGGGTGAGACAGAAGAGAACACCGGAGCGTGGTAACGACACGCGTGTATTCGAACGAAACCGAAACCGGAAGTCAGGGGTACAAAAAGGGGTCGGCCAAGGTCAGTCCGGGAGGGTTGTACAAGCGGCTATTCTTTCCTGTCCGGGGTTCATGATGGCTCGACCATGGAACCTGTAATAGGGAAAAAGAGAGAGAGGCACGTATAAGGTCCTATGAGAGGCATGCAAGCCGATACATTCGAGTTTCGAATGCGTTACAAGTTTATCATGGTGAAAAAACGTAGATATGTATGGACCAGGAAGGTAATACGTGGACACTCATTCGTTGCATTACATAAACAGTGTTATCTGAAAGTTCCCTGGATTATGAATCAAAACATATTCTTCAACAATTCGCCCATGGGCGCGAGAAATTTACTCTTGTTGGCTCAGCTGAATTGCCACAGTAATACAGGTCTGGTAATATCATCCAAGCAAACGGGACATCAAACATGCTGGATAATTGCGATCCACACATGAAATTAGAAACTGCACCAAATGAGATGTGGCCAATGGCGAATTGCGTAGTGGCGGGCATTCATAAACAACGTTTCAACACGTAAAGTCTACGCTGTGCATTCTGTCGCTTAATCAAATATAATTGCAAAACCGTGCTCCAGGCTTGCAACATTTTGCGTTAAATATTCCGCGGTGTCGTTGCTAGAGGAAGAATGACGTAAAGTTTGAGCATTGTTAAATAATAGGTTTCTTTTCTGAGGCAGATAGAGCAGCCAAATACACAAATTAAACACTACTCAAAATAAACTGGATTCCTGCGGTTCTCTGAGGCTTATTTGATGTGTTAGGCCTAGGTTGCAATCTCCCAATATGTCTTTGCAAAACGTTTTGGGATAATATAATCACCAGATACAACATTTCTTAGTCCAGGAATTAAGATCCTGATTATGCTATTGTTTTGCGTACAATACAGTACTTGGTAGCAATACGCGGCATATTGTGTGCTAATTGCAAGAAATTCTCATTGTCAATATTAACAAAATTTTGAGTCGCCTACCAATAAGTATTCTGATTGCTATACATTTCGTCATCACTTTGTTTTATTCCAACAGACTTATTCAAAACCTTGGAATGTCTCAGTCTACGGGATCACTTGACACTTTTGATTAGCTCGCTTTCTTCTTGGTACGTTCTAACGTGGAACCAATAATACTGGGTTTTTTGTTGGGCGTTGTGTTGGAAAGTCACAAAAATTATTTTTATTTAAAGTATAGCAGCAAGAAGTATTTGTAATATTAGTTTTATTTGGCCCAATAGTGTGTAACAGAGACACTCAGGCAACTGGTTTCGCAGGCATGTTGGGAAATTCTGTCCACTTGACTGCAGTAAATGTTTGACAGTTGTTTGGACAAGCACTGAATTTGGCGTATGCGTGCCTGTGAACAAGGGTCACATTTGGAAAGGCCACTTAATTGGTTGAACTAAAGGGCCTCCAAAACAAATACGCTCGCTCTTCAAATGAAGAAAGTTGTAACCTTCTATCCAAATCAGATTACCGGTTCAATAGGTTTTATGTTCTCATTCTGAGGAAGCAATAGAACCGGATGTACTTGTAGTTTCCAGTGAGACAAAACTGGAATATTTCGGAAAACAGTTACGATGTTCATGCTTTAAAATCAAAAAAATAGGGATTTTTTTGTTTTGCTGAGTTTGGATTGACAATCTTCGGCTGATTAAAATTTATTTTGCTTTCATTTTGGATAAAGCGGATTCTAAAAAAACCTTGTTTTTCAATGGCGTTCTCGAACCTGGCAGAGAGAGGTCATTCATTTCAATATACATCAGTCTGTTATTGGAATTATGAATTGGTCAAACATAAGTCAACGTTTGTAAATTTCGGCAGAGTTGAAATCACATTTTCATTAAACTATCAGGAGTGCGACCTCGTAAGACAAAAGTGTGTAATGCTGATTCCTTGTGTAAATAGACCCTGAGTAGCGCCGCGTTTTAGTAGAGTAAATTACGCGTGTTTATTAAAACGTCAGTGTGATTCCGTTCTGCTATTCCAAGGTGTTTGTGCTCTTGTTAAACTCTGCTTACGAAATAGTTACCAATGGTATAATTTTTGCCAGCCCACATTTGCTTGCAGAGTTTTGTAATTTCCATTCATTTTTGGGTGTCTGCTCCAATGGAAAATGACCTTGATCGAGAATACAAATCTGACTCATTGGCTGTGAGACTAGCGCGCTACGTCCTGCTCCAACTCAAATTCTCTGACAGTCCTACTTTTCATTCAGATTCTTTCATAAGTTGGCTGTGAGACTAGCGCGCTACGTGCTGCTCCAACTCAAATTCTCTGACAGTCCTACTTTTCATTCAGATTCTTTCATAAGTTTCTGTTGAGTCTTCTTAAAACTGGCCCCATCATGCGTTCACATTTGGCATATTGTATATCCTGCTACATCATCCATAAGCGAAACGCTGTAGTTGCATTCAACTTGTGCCAGACCTTGTGGCTATTATCTGCGATTTTATCACCCTATGCCGCTTCAAAATGAGTGCCTTTATTGACACCTCTGTTTTACATCCTCTGCTTCCTCGACATTGCTACCGAAAGTCCTACATCAACGTCCGTTCTATGCTTATATCAATTGTGCTGTTGTCTGTTGTGCTCTCTGTTTAGTGTATAATGTGTATTAACTCAGTTTCCCTGGTGCAAACGCTGCTACACTCAGTTTTCCCTTCACACTGGCCGGTCAATAAGAACTATGGATAGTTCTACAGCCCCAGCCGTCATTCAAAGCTTTAGGCCACAACGAACTCACCACAAACATACGAACTCAAGACGGAAACGCTTGAGGGTCTCCAGCCGTCAATTACCAGATGAAAAAACTGATCCATCCCAATAGTGTAGGTTTTCCAACTGAGTTGACATTTCGCCTGGGTCACCAAAACGCCGGAAAAATTCACACTGTTTCCAACACCTGTTTGACTGCCGAAATTACGTTAAATCCACCATATGATCGTGAAGTCGTTTTACTTTGTTCGATAAAAACCAAAGACTCAAACATGGCTGGGAACATGCGCCGGTACACTTTTGATTCGGTTCACACAACCCATCCCTGAAATCTTAAATACATGTCCAAAACACTAATATAGTATCTCATGGAAACAATCAATAACTTATTTGGAACTACCACCTTATTCTGCACAAGCACAATTACTATCAACAATTGTCACATCTGAGCGCCGATCTCTACACAAAGCGTAGTGTGCTACTTTCAACAACGTTTGTGTTCTGGGATATACTCAAATAGGTTGGAGCAGACAGGTTTCATTTAGTTTCTCATCCAGCATGCCTGTTTGCTTACCACAGTGATCGTCATTTTGAGCATAATACGGAATAATTCTTCCGTGTAGAAACCATCAATCTAATTTGCTGGTTCCCGCCTCAGCAAACTAGCAGATCTATTCTCTTGTCCTTAGAGCTGCATATCTGTTTTTTGTATAGTATGCAAAGCTACAGCAAAAGCGAAGAGCAAACATTACAAGATGGCACACCCTTGTATTGACAGGTGTGTGAGAAATAAAGGAATCGGAATGAGGAAAATCCTGTGTTTAATTAATATAGCAATTCTAATAAAGAAGGGACATCGAATGTTGCGTCCAGCGGATACCGCATTCTATGGGGTCCGCCACTATAAATAAGCTCAAGAGATGTGGCATTGTCGGAGCGATACTGGTGTAACGGTGATATATGGGGTCCCTATAAATAAGCTCAAGAGATGTGGCATTGTCGGAGCGATACTGGTGTAACGGTGATACTACTGATCGGCAGGCACGCGAGCGAGATGTGTTGTTTGTAGAATTTTGCTTTGCGTCGATGGAAAAAGGGAATTCTGTTGCGGAATTCATGGGGCCACTTTGTAACATTTGCTTGGATTTGACC